ATCATTTGTACGTTTGAGATGAAGACTCAACACAAGGGAAATAAAGTGTGTGTGGGTCGTGACTCGTGACCAGTTGGCCCGTGGCCAAAGGTTGGGCGAGACGGTATCTAAAAGTCTAAACAAGCATATAATCAGAATGCTCCGAATGATTGGTTTTTTTTTTTTTTGAGTATTTTTCGTAATGCGAGAATGGATCGTTTAAACGACAATCATCGATTCATATTTGGATTCAATCATCTATACTTTGTTTTGATTAGACTCGAACCAAGGCAGTAGTACGCTTGAGCGGACATCCACTACCCGAACCGAGGCATAAAGCTTGATCGCTAGCCGAACCAGTCTAAGGCAGTTGTTCGGTCAGTCAAGATGTGCCAACCCTTCAGTCTACTTATTGTGTTGGGCGCCCGTCGACAGAAGAGGGTGGAGTTGTGCAGAAGAGCATATGAGTGAATACAGAAGAAGAAAAGATGGGTAGTAAACTAGTAATTTAAGGCGGTACCTAGAACTGGCAACAGTGCTGCCTATAGAGTGATGCGTAAAGCACTGTTTTTGTCTCGTTTAGAACTAGAATCTTTCGATTTTTTGGGGTGGTTTCATTAGAATTTATTGTAAGGGGTCCTGGGCAAATTTGTATGAATAACTCTTGTCCTCTGTTGATTTCACTCAGAAATAAAAAAAAACTAGTAATTGCTATATGACTGACACACATGTACAAAATACATGGATAATGATTATTAACTAACTAAGGGCCTTAATCAGTAATTAAAGGGCATTAATGTTGCTAATAACACTCCCTTTACTTTAACAAATCCCATCTTGGAGAGAAATTGGTGAGGGGGAATTGAATTGCTATCTTTGTCGTCAGATTCGGTATCCGATCCAATATTTTTGAATACGTGTGTAGATCTATAAAGGCGTGTCAGTTATAATTATCAAGGTACGTTGTGTCAGAGGTTTCATATTCAATGTTTGTATGGATGAAATCTACATTTCTTATAAAAACTTCGGCCGACACACCTACTAAATCCTTGGATCCAGCTCCTGACTAGAGTCATACCCATCTATCGAGAGAGTAGGTTAGCGACGTGCCGTTTGAGCGACAGCGGGGCCTACTAAACCACTGGGGGTACCTGCATACTAACTGGGGCTTTCTGCTACCAACATTGGGGAGGCTTCGCCTCCGATACTAAGGGTGCCGCTGGGAACGTCAAGTGGCACCACTGGGAATCGAACTCATGACCTCTCACATCCAGAGTTCAATTGGTCCAGTGGTTTCACCACTAGGCTATGTTACTTTTTTATCAGGGTGATATAAAATTGTTTTTATTAACTACTACTTTAAATATATTTACATGGGACTTTCAAATTGAAGATTAATAATAATACCACTGGATCAAACATTTTTTTTTAGTGGTTAGAGACCCATTATACGACTTGTTGCTTTAACTTAAGTTCTTCGAGGTAGATGCCATGCCATTCTTGAGTAGAAAAGAAATACAAATTACAGCGTGGAGATGATACAAGAAACGATAAAAATAAAACGCCCTTTCATGTTGCATATGGGCCTCATATTTCAGTACAGGGCCCATTTTAGACATGGCCCAATATACATACAATTTGCCATAGATATATGGCCAATACTACAGTGCCGCTATTAAAATCGCGGCACCGATGCCGCTTAATTTTAATTGGTCCACTTAAGCAATCAAAAAATGACGTGGACTTCTTAAATTTATTAAAACCCGGCCCAAAGTCCCAAACCCATCGGCCATCAATCACTCACCCATGACCCCAAACATCTGCCATCCCGCCAATTGCTAATTGTTTGTTCTGTTTTTTTTTTCTCGATCAATCCACTCTTTTTACAGTCAGAGATTGAGAAGTAACGGAGACAGTTCTGTGTCTATCTCAGCCTCCCTCTCCGTCGCTCAAAACAACTAAAGTTCTGGCGATTTGTCCAACGGTTGCTCATGCCCATCCTCCGTCTCCGTCGAACTGATTCACCGCAACCGTATCCACATGATCCCAAGCCAAACCGAAATATAAATGTCCTCCGACTGCATCACAAACCTTGTCAGATTGGATTCCTCGCCCTTCATTCCAGGTTTGAATACTTTATTTCGTCGGAGGTAATTGTCCTAGCGGAGTTGATGATCCAACTTGATTCATAAAACCCAGCACCCATCTCCCGTAAGAGTCTCGATCGGATCACTCCTCCGACGGCCGCAAAACTAGAATCCCATGGACGCAGACTGTTTAATCAGAATACTATGGCGGCAGCCGGCAGCCTTGTCTGGGCTGTGTTTGGGCTAGGCTCGCGTATGGAAGAATCTGGAGAATGAATCATCAAAGGAGAAGCTCGTCGGAATTGCTGCTTATAGTCCGTCGGAGCAAGAGAGAGAGGGAGACAACAAATTGCATCTGTTTTGGGTTTCTTTTTCTGTTTTTGGTTCCCGCGGGAAATCAAAAGTGAGAAGAATTATAAAGATTAATGGGTCAAGGAACAGTTTATTAAAATGATAAACAGATTCAGAGATGGAAGACGGAAGAGCGGAAACAGAGAAATCTTCGATTATCTGGCCAATAGCAATTTCGGCCAGTTAGTGGTTAGTTGGTTATTGAGTTTGTTGACCGGTTTAATACATTCAATCAGTGCCATATCATCATCGATGTGGACCAATCAAAAATCGCGTAACCGGTGCCGCCATTTTTACTGCGGCACTGTAGTATCGGCCTAGATATATATTTGTATTAATCATGCATGGCTCCATCTTAAATTTTTACTTTTACTGTTACATTTTTCTTGACAACGATACGATTCTAACCGTTTGCCATTGATTTAAATTTTAATCACATAATATATTAGGCATGTCAAATTTGCAAGTCAATAAGGGGCCTATTTGTTTGAGAGTGTAAGGGATGATATATCTTTCACAATAATTTTGAGGTATTAGAAATAACTAATTATTGGAGTTTAGTGTTAATTTGTACGTAGCATTTGATTAAGAGTTATCGTGTTTGGGTCCTGAAAACTCTTCATACTATTAGCATTAAGTAACTTAATGCAAGAGAATTGCATAAGAGTCCTTTTTTGCTTCTTCAAACAACTCAAATCATTAGTGCTAGGTGGTTCTCCATAATAACTATTTAATAAGGTAAGATACCATTTTTTTTAAGGAGATCTGAAACTACTTAAGGTATATACTTTTGATTCTTGAAGGACGTCGATATAAAACACTCTAATTGAGATACAACCAACAACGAAGAGCGATGCCTAAAGAGCATAAAAAATAACGATAATCCACCGCTCAATGTCTCAACGATGGCCTTTCAAATTTAAATAAGGGTTATAGGTATAATATGCCATCTACTATGACGCTTTATCAAACATGCCCCTGTACTATTTTTTTTATATCAAACATGCCCCTGTACTTTGTAAAAATGATCAAACACGTCCTTCTGTTTAAATTTTCATTGAAAAAATCGTCAATCGTGGTTGAACCGAGATTTAGATGACCCGACATCAGCAAATGTGAGGGAAAATGTCAGTTTTGTCCCCTATTTTATTTCCCTGGGTCTTTTCAAAGTGAAATTATTTGAATGATTTGATTATACAAAAGAACGAAAAAAAATTCTAAAGTGAATTTATTATGGATATTTTAGTCATTTGTGTCGCCCAAACTAAAGTTCGGCCTTGGTTAACGGTTTTTGGATGAAAATTTTCACAAAAGGGCGTGTTTGATCATTTTTACAAAGTACAGGGGCATGTTTGATGTACAAAATAATACAGGGGCATGTTTGATAAAGCGTCATAGTAGAGGGGCATATTATACCTATAACCCTACATTTTATTAATGGTGACATAACTTTTGATAATAATTATTATATACAACTAAAAAAACTTTATGGTCGGATTAAATGCACCATTATCTCTCGTGGCCTATAAACCAAAACTCAACCAATCGAACCCTAGCCATTGAAAACAATTATATACAAAGGAAACGTTATCCTATATTTGAACACCTCGATCTCAAAACATGCTTTGTTCCGTCTTAAAGGGTGACTAATCCCTTAATTCGAGGGGTGCTTCCACTATCCGCAATTGTACTAATTCATCTTAATCCCCCCGAATCCTTCTAGACAAAATGATTAGGTCCTTGCTGACCATAGGGAGAGAATTCTTACTGAGAAATAAGTTGACTTTGATTTTTAATACTTTCCTCAAAGACAAGGCTCATAAACTCTGCAACCTTTCTAAAACAGATCGTTTATCTTCAACGTTGACAGAATTTGTCGTTTGTTCAGAGATCTTCCTCGTCATCTAGGTAAAACTTTCATTAATCAGCCACGAGTACTTCAAACAACTTTCTGTCGGATTTACTGACTCATCTAAGTAGAATAAATATTTGATCGTTTAGCTGTAGACTTTGTTGATTCTGATGGGAAAGAGTGACTTTTGAAAACCCATGATTTTTTTTATACGAATGAAAATCCATGATATTTTGCGAAATCCTCTTTGTAGAAACGAAGTTCATCCATTTTCTCGGCCGACTTATTGAGACAGAAAACAAACATTCAACGGTTTTCACATAAAGGAAAAAAAAATACTTTGATCTAAAAGAAAGATTATGATTTAATTATTTCTCAGCTAGATAATTTCTCTATAACATCTCCAAGAACAACGTGATCTTTCCGTTACAACGTACGAATGTACGATAAAATTATAACATAAATTATAGCAATCAGCGTCCGAAATTGTAAATCACATCCCATCTCAGGGTAAAAGAAGTGTAGGAAGTAGGAACTACACATGGAAAACAGAAAAAATATATTTTTTTTTTGAAATGTGGCTGTCATGCAAAATCTTCATTTAATTACTACGTCATTAATGGTAGTATCTAAGTTTTAGAAACCTCATAAATCTTTCATTTACTATATGTCAGTCTACTTGCCAAAACTACGCAATACAATATAAAAAAAACCCATTAAATGCCATTTTGACTTACACAATCTCCCTTTCAACTGCGGATTCTCACTATAAATAAGAGACTCGAGTAAAACATCAAAACATCAAACCCAAAAGAGCTTGAAGGATTAGCATACATTGTAACGAAGAAGAAGAAGAAGAATGGAAGGCAGAGTTTCCAAGAGCATTGTCATGGCGGCGACCTTGGTTGTAGTGGTGATCATGGCGCTGCTCGTTGCTCAAGGAGACGCCGATCAAGAGAAATTCGATAAATGTTACAAGGCGTGCATGGCGACTTGTCACATGATCGGCATCGACATGTGCATGACGTTCTGCGCTAGAAAATGTATAGAAGGGAAGAAGTTCTCGGGTCCGAGCACTTCGGAGAAGCAAGTGCAAAATATCACCACCAATCCTGTGGAAGGACCTCATCAATAATAGAGAATGCATGTAAATTTTTGCTTGTATGTCTATCTTTTGTGTGTTGTTGATTTTGGAGTTGTTTAATTTGTTCAATATTTCATGCGCCAACCAGCTGAAAGATCTCGCGACCATTTCGGTTTAATGTGATATCACTAGGGGGACATTTGGATGACTTCGAGATCCAAGAACACACATTAGATCTTAATTGTGCAAAAATTTGAGTATTTTTCTGTTACCTTTTTTTCCCTACACATTTCGATAACCGTTTGTTAACCAAATTTGACTATGATGACCACATTAAGCACTTTGCTAATCAAATCATTAACCCATACATAACCAAAATTTCCTCATAACACCATTATCCATGACCACTTATCCAATTGGGCCCTCATTAAATGTAGTAATTATCTCCAAAATCGAAAGTTGAGCAACAAATCAGTTAAGAAGAGTAGTTGCTGTGTGACAGGGTCAGCAGTCCCATTGAAAGAATGTCATGACTGTTGAATTGACAAAAAGATAAATACAAAAAACAATTAAATGCATTGAATTGAGTCAACACTATTTTATTTATTTATGAAAGGAAAAAAAAAGACATATATAAGGAACATCCATAGACCATAATAACTAAAATAAAATAAACACAAAGACAAGCCAGCCACACGTACGCCGTACGGGGCACACTTCAATTCAATCACGTCAGGTAATTTGTTTGATTAGGTACGTTTGATGAATCTCCATTAACCAACAACAAATAATTATCAGCATCACTGTGACAGCATTGCATTGCATCCATGGTTTAGCTGGCGATCATGATGGTCGGGATTTACGATTAATTTCGATCCATCCTATACGTATCAGTGATATGATCGAATCGACTCAACATTCGTCAAACCAAATTTACTTATTCGTTAGATCCGGATACACGAATTCGATCAATCAGTTAGAACCAGCAAATCCGATCCATCCAACACATGGATACACGCCCATAGATTTATGTTCTTTTTTTTTCATAAGTAGTTGCCCTCTCTCAGGGCCGGCCAAGAGGGTGTGCTGGCCCACCCTCCGTCACAGGGCCTCAAAATATTAGGGGCCTCTAATTAGATTCGTTAGTTACCGATCGTATATTGTAGGTTGTATTTTTAGTGTATGATTGATTGATTATGAGTATGATGATGTGTTTAATAGATAATTTTAGCTATAATAACAATTGAAAAGGATCTAATGGGGAATACGAAAATCTGAAAAATAATAGATAATTTTAATTTAAACAATATAGAAAGATATTACATTTTGAATAATGTTATTATAATCATTTTAGTTTTATTATAGTTAAAGGTCGATTTGGACCACGTCTAGATTTTGAAATAGGGCCTCCACGATCTAGTAGACAACCCTGCACCCACCTCTCGATCAATTTAAACTATTTTCATTTCTCCATTCAATTTTCGCGCTATATCCATTTTCTCTTCCTTCCAAATTTATTTTCCTCCCTACAAGGGCTGGGAATTCGGTCTTGGTTTCTTGGTCAAACTGGAAATGAGATCGTTTATTCCTAATGTAATCCTTTTCTGAACTTAAGTATTTTTTTACAATTATTTATTAATTTTTAATTTTTATAAATTTATGGAAAAAAAAATTAGGACCATATTTTTAAATTTTCGAACTCTCTTTGAGGAATGAACATCTACAACGTAGGGCCATTGACAGATGAAAATCCACGATGGAGTGGAGAACCCTTTGCTTTTTCTATCGTACCCTCACATCGCTTTGTCCGAAAACATGGACACAAGACAGCTAACACGAGTCTCCAGCCCTTATTCTCTTTGGAGCCTTTCTTTCTATGGCTCCTTTTCCCTTCATCATCTTGCACTTTTTCATTAATGTCGTTTTAGTTTTGGGTTTTCTGGTTGTTGAATTCCATGATTAAGGCAACATCTCATCACCGAGAAGGAGAGATTACCATCTGGGGAGCTGGTCAATGAATAGCATAACTACTAGGCATGTCTGATTACAAACGGACACATCCACTCGTTTTTGCAGATGTAGTCATAGGACTACAACTCCGACGCAATCATAGTTGTAGTCATTGTTATTTGCGGTTTACATCTGGTTCCTCGTCGCAGACTCGACTCTCATGGTAAGACATTTTTGTGGCTTGGTCACACACACATCTTCGTACTAGGGTTATCGTATTCATCTACCTAGGAGTTAGAGAAGTAAAGCCAACAGTAAATGCCGAAAGCAAGAAGCCCAGAATTCCACAACAAGAAGCAAAACAGGAGCAAGAACAGAGAGAGAGAGACACTCTGGGAGACAAGTTTTCCTCTGTTATGGGGATTGAGACGAGACAGTCATCAGTAGTCAGTAAAAAAGGCGGAGTCAGTAGTAGTAAAAAGGTGTAAAGCCACAGTATTCGGGAGGCAAATTGGCCGTAAAAACCTCAATTCCCACTCTTCCACGGCCCAAGCGGCCCATTGACAGGCTAAAGCTAGAAACAGTACTACTGTTACTTGTAGTAGCCAAATAGCTAGCCATGGCAATGGTTTTGTACTCGCCTTCTGCCTTCATTCAATACGCCTACGCCCCCTTTTTTACCTCTGTTTCTACTTACTAACTCTTTGGGACACCAAAGCTGTAACAGCCACCCAGCTGTTCATTCTTTGCCATGCATCATCACCATCACCTAACTTGTCTGCCAAACCTCTCAATGTTTTCTGACCGGTTTGAGAAGACCTCACCACTCAAATTGGACCAAATGATGTTCAATTATGTGGGTTACTATGGGTGGCACCGGTTGTAACTTGTAAGTAATGGGTTGATATCGTTGAATTGCGTTCTTGTGATTTCGGTTGTAGGATCATGCATGCGACACTGATTAGGAAGTCATCACTATACGTGATTAGGCCGTGGTTGATCACGAGATAGGAGGAGGAGGGGGAGGGGGAGGCACGATGGGACCATGTTAACCCTCTTCTTATAAGTGGGCTCGATATTCTAATGAAAATTTCGATTATGAAGAAAAGTAGAAACATATATAGATGGTTAAGTTGATTTTCTTTTTTCATGGCATGTGCAAGACGAGCCCGTCTCAACCATTGGATGGCGAAACCTATCTTTTGAGGATGATCGTGAGGGTTTTTGATGCGGTCGTATCATGTGTACACTGTATGTAGTGCACCTAAGATTTGTATTGTCTGTTAATCTAAGCAGAGGAAGACTTACGCTCAACATTCTAATCAAACTTAAAATAATGCTATAACACTCAATCAAATGATTATGTTGTGTACATACATAACATAAGAGACTTCTAAGTCGTATTAACACGAAACAAATACGACATTGGAGTAACATGATCTTAGAAGAAGTTAGAACACATCCATTCTGCTGTCACTATTCATTCCCCACTCCTTTTATCAAACCCTTTTCTCTTCTCTTTTTCAATTGGGTTGGAATACATTACAAAGCCCATCCCCTTTTCCATTTCCTCCTTTATGGTGTCCTTTCCTTCCCCCGCCTAATTTTCTGCTGGCTTCCGCTGCTCCTTTATCCCTTCTTCCTCTTCTTCTTCTCACTATACGAAAGAGAAAGAGCAGCAGAAAGGAGTCAGCCAGAGAATAAGCAAAAAAAGACCCATTCAAAAGAACTCCCTCTGCTTCCTTCTTCTCTTTTCCCTCTCCTTCCATTCTTCTTCCAAATCCCAAAAAGAAAACATGAAAAAGAAGCCCTTTTGATTTCATTTCATTCCCTTCTCTTTCTTCTCCCACCATTTCCCTCCCATCTTTCATTAAACTTTCCAAACCTCTGCATATCCCCTGTTTCTTCCTTCCTCTGTTTTTTTTTCCTCCCCTGCATTATCCCAACCCAGAAGGAAACAGCTGAACCCTTATCATAAAAATCCAATCTTTTAACAAATGGTGGCTCGATTCGGCAATCCAAGCAGGAATCATCATCATCACCACCAACCCACATCGAATTTCCTCATGGTCTTACTGTTCTTCACCATCTTCATCTTACTAGTGGGAAACAGCCATGGCTCTAGAACAAACGTCTTCAGGGTGAACCCCAAAACGGAAGGTGGCGGCCATTTCACAAACTTCCTTCCAAGGCATTTGCCCATCCCAACTTCCGGGCCATCGAGGAGACACAATGACATTGGATTACAAGCTTGGAGATCGCCTTGATCAAGTAGCTAGCTAGCTGGGGACAAAAGGAAATCCAAAAAGAGGGGATAAAAAGAGAGTAAAGGTTTAATCTTTTTGCTTGATTTTGGATATTGTTGTTAATTACTGATTACCCTTTTGGAATTAACAACAAGAGTGAGATGGGTTTGTTTGTTTTTGGGGCTTGGGGGATGTACATGAAGATGGAATTTGGAGGTGGTGGTGGGTATATAGTTGTAGTTAGGCTACATTATTATTGTTGTAATACTATTAGTAATTAGTATGTATGAATATGAATGAATATTGATACTCCCTTTTTAGGGGTTTCTTTGGGATGATCAAATTGTGATGGCTATAGAATTAATTACTTGTTAATTGCTTAGTTAGAGATGGACAACAAGGAAGAGAGTGAGGGAATTAGAAATGTGTACTCTTTTTTGGTATTATTGCTTAATGGACTTGTTTAAGTTGTATGATTATATCTCTAATTTTCTTGTACAGATTAATGATTATGTGTATGTAGCTAGAATTGATTTATATTTTGTAGCCTAGAGAGAGGGGGGAAATTATTATAAAAGGGAATATTATTGATAGATGATTTTTCAAATTGTTCTGTTGCTCGTGTACATGATTTTGGATGATGGGTTGTCAAATTTTTGTTCTCTCCTTGTTGTCTTATTAATTTATTATTACCTTAATTTTCTGGTTTGATTAAGGAGTAGTTATGAAATTCTAATGATAATGATAATTTTTTTTTGTTGGTAAGGGGATAAAGCTTCTAGTTTGAATGGTTCATACTTAAGGCTGCATTTAGTGGATATGTGATTCAAAATTAATCTTAATATTTGGTTTATGTTAATTTAATAGGATTAATATTTAGTGGCGAAGTCGTAAATCTGAACTAGGGCTAAAAAATCTAAAGAACTTTGAACAAGGGTAATTTAGTTATAGGTAGAACTAAATGTAAAAATCTTAACTTGAAGAATTTGGATTTTCGTAACACCATATTAGTAATGGTTGAACTAAATATAGGATATGATGGATATAATCAAATGTAAATTTCTTTTGATTGACCAAGTATTGCATATGATAATATTTCGAATGTTGTGAGCTATGACTATTTGTTTTTATATAGAATTATGACTATTATTAAAACGAACCGGTTCTGCAATAAAAAAAAATCCAAATATTACAATGTGGAAGGAAAGGTTCAACATTGGCAGCCATGGATGAATGTTTCCCTCCATGAAGAGGTTTTGGACGGTTTCCCCAAAAATTCAACTCCACCTAATATCAAACCTGCTCTCTGGAAACGTTGAATTTGTGCGGTTTGTATACATTAGAGTAAGTGTATGAAATAGTGGGAGAGAACATGGTCATTTGGTCAGCAGCCATAATTGGAAGGAGGAGAAAAAAACTTGTTCATCTAATGATCGTGGAGCATACAACATGGCAATTCGATAACCGGACAACTTTACGTACATTTTCACCACGACGGCGTATGAGTACCATAACCTGCTCGCATTTAAGCTATAATATAAATGTATTTCCATGCATATGGACCCTCTAGTAATGTTCTCTCTAATTCTCAATGCAGACTGCAGTTGAGTTGGGTTGACATTCAATTGCCATAGTTAATACTTTTTATTAATTAAGGTGAGGCCTCTTTTGTCATCAATTGCCGACTATTCTGAATCCCAACAATAACTTTTGGAGATATAAAAATGGTTGTGGAATGTGGACAGTTAGAATGAGGAAATTTTGGTGAGCATATGAACTGTATAGGAATCCTTGACAATCATATGAACTGTATATGATTTATTTGAGCGAGATTACGAGTTCGAATTTATCTTTATATTAAAGTGCGTACTAGGAGGTACCATTGCTAAGATGTGATATACTTTTACGTATATTTAGTTTTGATACAAAGTACTATAAATTGATATTAGGGCTATCAAAATTAAGACACGAGATATCTCGATCCATGAAGACTTTGATACAAAATAAATGATTGTTCAGGTCATTACATTGACTAGATTGTTGAGAGAGATCCCAAAAATGCACATTAAGCATGTCTGCTGGAGACGAAGTCTGCACATAACGGTCACATATCATGCATGCTTATATCAACGTTGATTAATATCGAAGGTTAGCAACATCCAAACATCAACAATTGTTATTGCCACAGACAAAATTTCTAGTACGATCGTATCAAAACCCTATTTATCTCGATAACTTAAGTTATTAGCTTAAGCCTCATGTAATGTCTACACCAACCCATGTCTAAGGAAAAGAAGATACACGGCTTCCTCTAACCCAATCAAAAAAAAAAAAAAAAAAAAAACAAACGTGGAGTTGTGCTAGTGCCTTTGCCTTTCATCGTTATTGTACTATACATAATTACACAAATTATGGCAAATAATGGAGGGTTTATCTACAAGAATCTGCAATTCTATCATTCCCCCCACCATGTTTAATCAATTATCATCTCAATAGGTAATCAAAGTTCACCACCAAAAGGAAAAGGAAGAAAATAAAAAAAGCATCCATCAACTCCCATAAATTCACTTAATGAGTAGTGAATTCTTTGTGTGGTGGTAGAATCATTGATTTGTCACCGTTTTGATGTGTACTAGATGTAGATATTATGAAGATATGTTTACATTATAAAGATGCAATAAGGATATATATACTTGTATCTTTTTGTCACTACTCATTGAGAACTCATCAATGGAGGAGGAGTGATTTACGATTCAGAAATCTCCATTGGATTCCATGAGGGGGGAATTATGAAGAGGGGAATTGGGTGGCTGACAGAATTTTTATTATGATGATCATTGCTATTACTGGTTTTTTTCACCATGATTCTCCTTATATTTAAGCATGCGCCAAATTGTTCACAATGAAGTGAATTATGAAGATATGTACCATGATTCTCCTTATATTCAACCGTCGCTGAAAACTCAAGCATCATCAAACAGTGCTTCCTTCTCCATAAGATGGAAGAAAGATCTGGTCTTTAAGTGTTACAGACAGAAGAGGGAGTAGTTTTCCCAACCATGAGTCTCACTTCTCCCATGACTCCTGAAAGCAGCATTACCTGGAACCCACAAAGATCACAAGTAATAAGCAAACATCTAACACCAAAAAGAGTGGGAGGACTTTGGTTGCTTGATAGAGGGAAGAAGGCTGAAAGAAATTTAAGGGCTTACTGACTCTGTATTGAGCTGGGACGAAGGCTTAAAGCGATGCGTACATGTAGAGCGTGGAGATGAGTTACATTAACGGAATCTTGGGCACCCTGTAAAAGACACGGTGAACAACAAACGAGAACCTGGAAGGGGAGCTACATCAGAGCCTTCATAATCACAATGAATGAAAAGAAATGAGAGGCTGATTCATTGTGTGATTTGAGATTTTCATCAAGCACTTACGTGGACCAATTTCTCATATTGATAATCAGTCTGCTGGACAGAATCTCAAAGGGGCAGATTCAAGGGCCTGCCACCAGCATAACCATCAAAAGAGGGAGCAAGGTCATTCTACCAGAACAAGGATATGGTTGTCAATCGGAGAAAACAACTTGAAACAAGACAAAAAGGAGAGATCTCAAAGAAACCTGATTTAGTTCAACGTCACTGGAATTTCCCAACAATTCAGAGATGATTTCTGGCGCAATACCAGGAGCCCCAGTTAGATAACTTCCATATCCTGTACCAACCTAGTACCTACCAGCATCAAGGATCAAGTGTTAGTGATAAAATCCTGACGAAGAACTTGATGAAAAAAATGCACAAACCCTGCTGGTTAAGTATGGTGTCTTAAGCAGCCGAAGTCTTGAAAGGTCATTAAATTAGCTACAGGCTACAGTCCATAAGTCCTGAGATTCTATAAAAAAATGATCAACAGGCTATTTTTAAGTGTTATATGTGTTGGAAATTGGTCATAACTCATAACTCAACTGACAGGAAAAAGGTAGACAGAACATTAAGAGTTCAACAAGAACCCTAAAGAAGGAAATTGAGGAACATATAAAGAATACATATGGATTCAACTAATAATCGGCTACATTTAAATTCCATATCCACCAAATAATTGGCACAACTTGTCAATAACAAGATTACCTTCCAAGGATGTGATGATGACGCCAGTAGCCACAGAAGTTAAATCTGGCCATTGTTCGAGAAGGAACGAATATCCGAGGGGAAAAAAGAGGCGTATACTGTGGCTCTGCTTCATTGGCAAAGAGGGACCCAGGAGGATAGCTAAATAAAAAGAAAAGAGCAAGTTAAAAATACATGAACAGCTTTCTAGAACGAGGACTCATGGGGAATCTGCATTTTAAGAAGATCATAAGAGAGTGAGGGTAGTGAGTTACCTGTTCAAGAACTGGCACATTGGTCATTGGATTGCAAAATCTGGGAGCTAATACTAAATAGACCCTTTCATCTTACATTTTCAGGGACCAATTTCGGGTTGACAAGCTGTTGGCAAACTCACAAAACCTTTACAGTGGCAACCAAGCACCAATAAACAGTCCCTCTAGGCACAAAGTCTTTCCCACAACCAGCACTTTTCCTACGTAGTTTAACTTCATTGGCTATGTCATCCTCTGAAAAATCATTCTCATTTGTAATGTCTCTCAACTTCTGCTCAGTTGGGTGCATCCATTCCCATACAACTCATTATCCCCGCATGAGGAGCTTTGTTGTTCGGTGAAGGTAAGCCTTTAAATCATATCCCAGGGCCTTCATTCGGTATAAGAGTTTGATTGCATCCTTCCTTTTATCTTGGGAGCGAAGAAGGGACTTAAGTAGTTGATTACAAATCCGAGGCTTTAACAAAATGCCTTTGTCGATTGTGTAAGCAAAAACATCAACTGCAAGGTCTAGTTTCCCTTGTCTGCACAGACCTTTTATCAAGTTTGCACAACTTGGTGGAGTAATAGCTACTTTGGATTTATCGAGAATAGAAAATACCATAGAAGCTTCTTCTATTCTTCCAGACTGGCACAACCCAATTAACCAGATAGTATATGGTGCTAGCTGGAAATCATTTAATCTGAGGTCCATTTCCAGTAAGCTTTTAACTGCCATGGCGATTTCTCCCTTCTCGGAAAGCTCTTCTATGGCTTTAATTGCATTATCATCTCTGCCAGCAACACTCTTCAGATACTTTAACCAAAGATTAAAGGCTGATGACAGGTTCTTTCTCCTGCATGACCAAGTCATGAGTGATTTAACAACTGCTGTACTCGGCGTAAGACCACTCTCCAACATTTTCCTGAATAGTTCTTCGGCTTCTTTATCTCTTTTAAGCCGAAAAAGCCCATCTATAAGGGTCCCATATGTTACAGAATCGGGCAGTAGACCTCTACAGGGAAGCAGTTTGAACTGCTTAAAAGCTTCATCAATGTTCCCTGCTTTGCAGTATTCATTGATCAGAATGTTATATGTTCTGATGTCAGCCACAACCTTCTCGTCAAGTTTTACAAGAGAGTTGTATTCCTTGAGAATCAATCCGGGTTCAGAATTTCCGTTCTTTATCCTCTCAAGGCCATCACCATCCTTTTCTAACGAATACTTGAGGCTATTTCCAAAGATTTGTAGACCCAGAAAAGCCTCACTCCTCTCCATAGCATGTATCATCTTCTTAGCTTCCTCAAGGTTTCCGGATTTACACAGACCATTGATAAGGGCATTGAAGGTAACAACAGAAGAACCGCATCCAGATTTGTCCATAGCCTTGAACAGCTGTTGAGCCTCTGAGACCAATCCATTCTTGCACATACCAGAAATAAGAATGGTATGTGTATAAGCAGTAGGAACTTGATCATGCTTTGAAATCTCAAGACTTAGTGACTTGGCCTCATCGACAAGCCCAATATCACAGAGGCCTTTAATCAAAACATTATAACACTGCGTATCAGGAACCACGCCTCTCTTATTCATCTCATTCAACAACTTCATTGCCTCGTTCATCTTCCCTCTAGCCGATAGACCTTTCGTCAATATTGTGTAAACAACAACATCAGGCGTAATATCACTACTGATCATCTTACGATACCAGATATCCACTTCCTCATATCTCTTAGCCCTATAGAACCCGTCAATTAGGCAACTATATCCACGAGCTTCAAGCACATAACCTTCTTTCTCAAATGATCCCAAGCAAGCCAGAGCCTCATCTATTCTACCTAACTTACAGTATCCATTCAGCAGAGCAGCATATGTTACAGAATCAGGTTCAATGCCCTCGCTTTTCATCTTATCTAGCAAATTACGTGCATAATCGATCGTCTTATCCTGGCATAAAGCCGAGATCACTACTGTATATATGACCTTATCAGGCAAAATTCCTATCTCTTCCATTCTATTGAACAATGCTTGCGCTATACGGGTCTCTCCACACTGACACAACCCTCCAATCAAGATGCCGAAGGTGTTCCTATCCGGAACGCAATTCAGTTTCATCATTTGATGGTAAATAGCTAGAGCAAGTGAGGTAACCCCTTTACGCAGTAGAATCTGAAGTAGTGCATTGTAAGTATAAACATCGGGCTTACAGTTGAATTCGGCCATCGACCCAAAGGCTTCAACAGCCTTCTCATCCATACCTCTCTTCCCACAAGCTTGAATCAGCACCAGAAATGCTTCAGCAGGAACCTCGAATTTGCACCTCTTCGTTTCTTCCAAAACCTGACGATACAAATCCATTCCTTTCTCGTCGCCCAGCATCCGGAGTATCGCGTCCCGCGATTCCCAGGTGCGGAAACGCTTGTACCGAGACGCCCAGATGAAGAAACGGAAGCCGAGCTGCGGATTGGGCGGCTGTTGGATAACGGAAGCGACGGCGGCGGGGGAGAGGAAAGGGACCATTGCGTCCAGCTCCGGCTCCATCGGATTGGACGCCTCGATGACCGAGACGAGCTCGTCGGATACGGAAGTCTCCGAGAGGGGAGCTGGTGCGGCGGCGTGGAAGTAGCGGATCCGATGCGAGATTCGATGGAGGAGCTGGAGATTCATTGGGTCTTCTGTCAACCGGATGTTACACTACGGTTTGAAAAGGGATTTGGCCTGAAGCTTTCCCGGCGTTAACTAGGCAATTTGAAAGCAGAGGGAGTGGCCGCCGGCGGGCAGGAAAACGATGAAGAAAGCTTCTGGGTAGAGTGAATGAAGCAGAGGCATCTCCGCGTGCGGAAGATGACTCCGGGGCGAAAACCCGAAATTTTAGTGAGTCGGATTTTCGGCCCAACGTTTTGGACTCAACCAAACAAAGAAGCCCAATACAACCCGGCCCGTATGAATTAAATCTCTCGGTTCAATTGGCAAGGACTTTCGATTTTCGAATTGGCGGAAACCTAAACCAGAAAACCCGCCACCAATTTTGCCGTCAACGCGTCCTGATTTTAAAACAGAATCTTCTCCCCTATTTCTCTCTTCCAAATCTCCCCTGAAAAACCCCTAACCCTCAGAAATTTCTTCTTTCTTCCGCCGCCAACAGTAGATTGATCGTAGAATCGCGGCGCGATGTTGGAACTCCGTCTGGTGCAGGGATCCATATCGAAGAAGGCGGCCGGTGCGATGGAGGATCTGATCAGTGACGCCAACTTCGATTGCTCGTCGACGTCGTTCGGTTATCAGACCATGGGTTTGAGCTTATGGCCCTCCTACTCAGCGATGAAGGAGCACTGCCGCTACGACCGACCTTCGGTAACAGAGGATGAAAATCCATCTAGTCGGGATGAATCTCAGGAACCTGGCGACTGTGCTAAAATTTTCCGGCGACTGTGATAAAATTTTCCGACGATGGCAGTGACAGTCTTTTGGTTTCTGTTACTCTCGTATATATTTCAGGTTGGGCTGAAATGTGGGCCTATTTAGAATTCTTGATCTTGAGGAACTATATAAGTACCTCTTGCTTTTCCAATTCAGTTTTCCTTCGTTGCTTTTGATTCCCAGCTTGCACAGTAGAAAGAACCTTCCATTCGTCAAGTTCAGCAAGTAGGGAGTTTGCCACTTACACTCTGGTAGATAGCAACAACCTTCATTCATCAAGGTGAGGCTGAATATAGTCTTGAATCCATCTATCTTGCATGGTTACTTCCCTTCTTCATTCTATCGCTTGAATCCATCTATCTTTCATTCATCCTGGTTAGAATACAGTAAGTAGATTGCTTTCCATGTTGAGGAAAGTTTTAGTGCTTTGAATTGATACTCATTCTGGTTTCAAACCCTTTCTTCGCCCATGTTTAAGCATTCATCCAACTCATCATTTCTTGGTTATCTGTTGTGACTATCTTTTCTGTTTCAAACCCTTCTTGATCCATCGTTAAGGAAAGTTTTAGTGCTTTGAATTGATACTCATTCTGGTTTCAAACCCTTTCTTCGCCCATGTTTAAGCATTCATCCAACTCATCATTTCTTGGTTATCTGTTGTGACTATCTTTTCTGTTTCAAACCCTTCTTGATCCATCGTTAAGGAAAGTTTTAGTGCTTTGAATTGATACTCATTCTGGTTTCAAACCCTTTCTTCGCCCATGTTTAAGCATTCATCCACCTCATCATTTCTGGTTTCAAACCCTTTCTTCGCCCATGTTTAAGCATTCATCCAACTCATCATTTCTTGGTTATCTGTTGTGACTTTCTTTTCTGTTTCAAACCCTTCTTCATCCATCGTTGGTGAGGATCAAAGTTAGTGGGACCCAGATTGCTATGCAAGAATTGTTGTGATATTGACATGTTTAAGTATAGCTTCATTTTGAGTATATGTTCTATGTTCTTGCTGGAAGAATCTACTGTTGATATTGGATTGTTATTGCCATTTACAGGGTTTTTAAGTTCCTCTTTGAACAAGAAGAATGCCACCCAGGAGACTTAGAGCAGCCCGACCTTCGGTACTTCCAATTTATGTTTGAGTGATATGCTGCGTGTGATGGTCGCTGTTTTTTACTTGGTTTACATCCCGTATTGTTGTTGACTCACCAGTAGATTGGTCTACCTATGGAGTTAATGTAGCCTTACTTGGGAAACAGAATGTGCGATTGATGGATTTTTGTTTTTGTTGTCTATGTAGGATCTTGGTGCCGATGCACCTTTGGCGGTGGACTGGACGGATGAAGGGTGGTTACAGCGAGCCGTGGATGGTAAAATCATTCTCCCTAGTCCCATTAGGGATCAATCTGATCTAGGTAAGTGTAGTTAGGTGTGTTGTTCGGTAAGTGTAGACTGTATAGTAGGTATCAGTTATTAGTATGGTTTCCAAACAAAATCGAACCTAGACTTGAGGAGGTCAGAATTAGGGTGAGCATGATTTAAAAACAAGATTGAATTGATATAGTATCGGATCTAACATAAAGACAAATCAGTCACCAATCAGTTATTCATTATTTGGTTCAGTGGCATGTAAGTTCATCGGCCCTTTTTTCTTCATTTATTTCTATGATGATATATGGAATTGAATAATGATCCATTTTGTCCTGTGTGAATAACTGATTGGGAATAAGGATTAAGAGTGTTTTGATCCTTTCCATTGCAGCAACTTGTGGCTGTCACGCCGTCGCGGCTGCTTTGGAAGCGGCTCATAACATATTGAACCGAGACAAGGAGCCAGTGTCATTGTCAGTCCAGGAGCTGATTGACCACAGTAACACAAAGTTTGAAATAATTCCGCATGTTCAGTTGAAGACGGTCGCCAAAATCATCAAAAGGGAACAACTCAGTCTAGAGAGCCATTACCCCTACCGCCCTGGCAAAAAGTTCCATCCACAGAGAAACTAAATGTAAGTACTTATCTTCTTAATGGTGAGCTTCCTTCTACACTATGTTTCATGGAATAATGACTAGTTAGATGTTTGTTTGTGTTTACACTTTACAGCCCTCAAAAGTTGTCGGAATCAGGAAGATCGAAAAATTTGAGACTGTTGTTGAGTCAGAGATACTTAAGCTGGTCGAGCGGCAGCCCGTCATAATGATCTTGAATCTCAGGAGCGCGTTTGAGAACTGGAAATCAGTAGGTGTCTCCATTTTTTTTTCTTATTCTTTTCCTTCTAAGAATTTTAAAACATGAACTTACAATGGATTTGATATTTATAGTCTGGAGTCTACAAAGGACCGGATCCTGGGATCGAGAAAAACAATGGCCATGCTGTACTCATCGTCGGGTACGGAACCACAAACTCTGGTATCAATTTCTGGAAGATCAAAAATTCAAGTGGCAAGCACTGGGGAGAAGATGGATACTGCAAGATCTGTAGAGCCTCAAGAAATATTTTAATTTTGCATGTTGCTGCATTCAGTTAGAGGTTGTCTTTCTTATCAAGAAATTAGAATAATTAATGGCTTTGGTCATGATTTATTCCAGAAAGCATGTTATGATCTCGAGTAATTGGCGGATGATGACAAGAGGAGTAACTGGATGTGCAATATTTATGGAAAAATTTTCTAGGATTGCCTATTCTATATGAAGTTATGAGATTTAAATTCTGAAAATTGAATGATCGTTGAGGAGCTCAATCACAATCCATACAATTTAATGGAGGAACTCAATAGATTGTATCCAAAATTGGATTTAGAGCAGAGAAATACATTCGATGAAATTGTTCAAGCTGTGGAGGAAGAAAATGAGAACTACTTCTTTGTTAATGGCTTTAGAGGTACATGGGAGACTTTTCTTGTGAAGAATATATGGTTGAAACTACGGCAGGTGGTGTTGTGCATTGCCTTCTTTTGATATTACAGCTTTGTTAATGGTTGGAGGTAAAATTGCTCATTCTCGATATCATATTCCAATCGACTGTGACTCAAAAAGACATGCAATATTAGAAAATGAAGCGAGTTTGCAGAGTTGATTCAGAATGCTTCTCTTATTATTTAGATAAAGCTTCCATGGGTCATAAGAATAGTATTATAGCAACTGATAGAACTCTTGAAAACATTTTGCATGTGAAACATGCAAATGACAAATACATGATCTTTGGAGGAATTTCTATTATGTCTGGCGAAGATTTTATACAAAAATAACCATTAATTGCTAAGGGTAATGACCAATTAGACGTTTGTATATGTTTACAGCCCTCGAAAGCTATAGGTTTCGGAAAGATTGAAAAGTTTGATAATGGGGGTAATGACCAATTAGACGTTTGTATATGTTTACAGCCCTCGAAAGCTGTAGGTTTCAGGAAGATTGAAAAGTTTGATAACGGGGGTAATGATCAATTAGATGTTTGTATATGTTTACAGCTATAGGTTTCGGAAAGATTGAAAAGTTTGATAATGGGGGTAATGACCAATTAGACGTATATGTTTACAGCCCTCGAAAGCTGTAGGTTTCAGGAAGATCGAAAAGTTTGATAATGGGGGTAATGATCAATTAGACGTTTGTATATGTTTATAGCCCTCGAAAGCTGTAGGTTTCGGGAAGATTGAAAAGTTTGATAATGTTGTTGAGTAAGAAATATCGAAGCTGGTCCAGCGGCAGCCGGTTATAGTTTGAAGAAGAAAAAAAAACACAACAATCTCAATCAAACAATCTCAACAATCACACAAAAAAGTTGAGATTTAAGCATCACTCATTTTGAGTGATAGTTTGTGTCATATTAAGCAAACAATGCATGTATTGTTTGTGAAGAGAATTAAAAAAAATGAGTGATAGTTTGTGTAACATTAAGCAAACAATGCATGTATTGTTTGTGAAGAAAATTAAAAAAAAATTAATACATTGTAACTATCTCAATTAAATAATCACCAAAACCAAACAACCCCTTAGAGACCAATAGGAGCCTGGGCCTGTTTAAAGAATCACTCGGTTCAATGCCCTCGCTTTTCATCTTGTCTAGCAAATTCCGTGCATAATCGATCGTCTTATCCTGGCATAATGCCGAGATAACTAGTGTATATATGATTTTATGTTGGGAACGAATAGCTTTGAAAGTTATATTGAATTAATTATTCAGTATTCTTTCTGGATATGAAAATAAGAAGGATAATTAATAACAAGAATATTATGGAGATAATTAAAATTAATTATCTTAATATAATATATCTTAATTATGGGAGTAATTATCTTCCTAATTAAAATGTGACTTATTCCCAAGGAAAGAGGGAATATTCTGGGGTTTCTGCTCCTATAAATAGCAGACCCCTAGACCCTCTAAACACACCTCAAAGAGCAGAAACACGAGAGAGAGAGAGTGTGTGTTCAGATGGTCTAATTATCTCCGGAGGGGGAATATTCTGGGGTTTCACTTCTCTAATAAGACTGCGATTAATTATCTCCGGAGGGGGAATAATCCAAGCCGTAAGAAACAGCCATTACCCAAACCCATCCCGATACAGGCAATTGCTGAACGGCGTCGTGGGGAAATTTGGAGATTTATCTCTTCAATAACTAATTATTTTTCTTCTACAATCTTTTGTTATTTATGTGGTGCCGTGTCTGTTTATTATGGTGTGCACTAATATGTATATATGCAATTTGATTTAGCCCTCGTTCTCTCTGTACTGATAGAACAGAAACCATTGGCAGCAGGGCGATATTAATCATCATCTACGGCCCAGTTGTTGCTATATGGGACTTGGCAATTGATATTGGTAGGTCGTGGTACATCAATACGAGGACATGGATAGATGGCAGATTCTTCTAAAAACGAGGTAAGAACTAAAACTTACTTCGAGAGTCATTAATATATGATGAATGAGAATATATTCTATTGAGTTTTATGCATGGTATTGAGAAACGGTATAAATGCGAGAAAGTAAAATATAATGGATGCATATTTATTGCGACATCGAGACGTGTTACCTCGATGATTAGGGTATGAACTTGAATACATAATGCGGAATAGAATAATTTTGTCTACATGGGTGCCAATGAAGAATATATGGGAATAGAATGGGTTAACTGCACATAGTGACGATATTGTAAGAAGTACTATTATCAGTACTGCACGAACCACTTAGGTTGATATGAAACATTAAAGTTTCAAGAATGAGAGCAGCAAGCCGAACCAGATCCACACCAAATAGAATGGTACCCTTCGTGGTAACCATAAGATTGCCACTCAATCCTCTAAGCATGACGCTATGTTTTTTTGCTACAACGGCATGAAACTAGGTCATATGACACGAAAGTGTAAGAACAAGTATAACCTAGTGTTGACTTGATTAAAGAAGAGGATTTTGTTGTAATAATCACCGAGGTGATGACAGAGGTTGACCTTAATGGTATCTCTCAAGAATGATTGTTGGATAATGGCGCCTCAAGGAAAGTGTGTGATAAACGAGCTAAGCTCAATCATACATTGAGGCATGTTGAAGAAGAAAGTGTTGTTGGGTTGTCCCTTCATCACTATGGTTGATGGTTCTGGAAAGTGGGAGTGAACCCTACCTATAGAAAGTTATTGACTATGCTAAATGTAAGAAAAGGGTAAGCAAATGAGATGCATTCTTCTGTGTGTCATGTGTGCCTCTATGAAGAATTAGAATACCTAAGGTCACATGTATTCTCATATTATTCATGAACACTTGAGATAAAAGTGAATTTTGTTAAATGACCCATAAATTTGTGGTTAGAGAATCAAAATCGAGAGATCTGATTTATTATGATATGAGTAAACAAGGTGGAAAGACAAATAAATTATTTATTGATATATAGAGTGCTTTGTCTAGTTATTGGATATGCTAACTTGAAATAGCTTGAGAAATGCTTAATCGCATTGTTACTAATTGGCTTGATTATTCAATATATCGCATGATTGTGGTAGAGTTAACAAACCAGTGTAGCGATAACTAGAAGAGCATATGAGTGTGTTTTATGTTGTCAACAATAAAAACATATAGTTCCTATGAAACGAAATACTCATGTTGTTGTGAAATCCATTGATGCCAATAAACTTCCATCAAACACCGATTTGGGCGGATTTCTTCCGGGTCCATTTTTGGCAGATTCCAAAGGGGCACCATCAAAGATTTAAGGCGGTTTTCCAGAAATCCCATTTTCTTTCGATTTTGGAGGCTACAGATCACGGATTCAGCCAGAGGCTATTCTCCACCGATAATGAAGTCTATAGATCCTATTATGCGACGATGATTACGTCAATTAAGCACTGAATTGGGCCAATTTATTTTAGGATGGCATATTCGTAATTTGTTGGGAATTTTTTTTAGAAATGCCATTGTCCTTGGATTTTGAAGGCTAAAGATGACGGATTCTGCCTATGGCTTTTCTTTAACGATGATTAAGTCCATCAAGCACCGATTTGGGCGGATTTCTTCTGGGTCCATTTTTGGCAGATTCCAAAGGGGTATTTCGGGAGATTTTCTCGAAATGCCATTTTCTTTCAATTTTGGAGGTTACAGATCACGGATTTAGCCCGAGGCTATTATCCACCGATAATGAAGTCTATTGATCCTATTCTGCGACGATGATTAAGTCAATTAAGCACTGAATTGGGGCAATTTATTTTGGGATGACATATTCGTAATTTTTTGGCAATTTTTTTAGAAATGCCATTTTCCATGGATTTTGAAGACTAAAGATGGCGGATTCGGCCTGAGGCTTTTCTTTAACGAAGATTAAGTCCATCAAGCCCCGATTTGGGCTGATTTCATCCGGGTCCATTTTTGGGCAATTCAAAAGGGGTACCATCACAGATTTCGGGCGATTTTTTTGAAATGCAATTTTCTTTCGATTTTGGAGGCTACATATCACGGATTCAGCCCGAGACTATTCTCCACCGATAAAGAAGTCTTTTGATCCTATTCTACGCCGATGAATAAGTCAATTAAGCATCGAATTGAGCCAATTTGTTTGTGGATGACATTTACATAATTTTTTGGGCAATTTTTTTCGAAAGGAAATTTTTCTTGGATTTTGAAGGCTAAAGATGGCGGATTCGGCCTGAGGCTATTCTTCAACGTTGATTAAGTCCATCAAGCACCGATTTGGGCGGATTTCTCCAAGGTCAATTTTTGGCAGATTCTAAAGGGGTACTATCACAGATTTCGTGCGATTTTCCCGAAATTCCATTTTCTTTCGATTTTGGAGGCTACAGATCACGGATTCAACCCGAGGCTATTCTCCACCGATAATGAAGTGTATTGATCCTATTCTGCGCTGATGATTAAGTCAATTAAGCATCAAATTGGGCCAATTTATTTGTGGATGGCATTTTCATAATTTTTTGGGCAATTTTTTTCGAAAGACAATTTTTCTTGGATTTTGAAGGTTAAAGATGGCGGATTCGGCCTGAGGCTATTCTTCAACGTTGATTAAGTCCATCAATCACCGATTTGGGCGGATTTCTCCAGGGTCAATTTTTAGCAGATTCTAAAGGGGTACCATCACAGATTTCGGGCAATTTTCCAGAAATGCCATTTTTTTTCGATTTTGGAGGCTACAGATCACGGATTCAGCCCGAGGCTATTCTCCACCCATAATGAAGTCTTTGATCCTATTCTGCGCCGATGATTAAGTCAATTAAGCATCAAATTGGGCCAATTTATTTGTGGATGATATTTTCAAAATTTTTTGGACAATTTTTTCGAAAGGCCATTTTTCTTGGATTTTGAAGGCTAAAGATGGCGGATTCGGCCCTGAGGCT